TATATATATATATATATATATATATATTTAATTACTCGATCGTTTCACTCGTCCTTCAATTACTACAGATGCTAATCAGTACAACTGTATTCGTGGCCACTTGGTTGAAAGAAGTTATCGTATCAGCTGTTACAAATATGGCATGGAACTGTTCTTTTATATTTTATGTTCCGATTAGCATTTCATGATTGCATTCATAATGACAATAAATGTTGTAAAAATATCACCTTATTTAGACGTTACCAACTTCACAACCAAGGGTTAATTAATGGCAAGTCTATGACTTTATGGCCACGAAGTGGCTACAATGTAGCTACTGTTTTCGAAGTACTGTCAAACTTTTTCACAATTCAAAATAAATCATCCTCCATATACTATCACATTGTAAATTATTTGACTTCGCAACAAAAAATCTACATCCAAACAGTCCACCAAATTCCCTCAAGCTATATGGGCGCGCCATTCACGCTAGTGGCACCAAATCTGATCGATCTAGGCAAGCAGTCATTGTTTAGAAAGTCCTACAAATTAACTCCCAATTTTTTCACATATTATGTCGCCATAATTAAAAAACTAAATATATCTACACACAGTCGACGTATCTGACCTATCTCGACAAGATACTACTAATGCCCATAACATTCACATGACATTTGTATCTATAACAACATTCTTGTTCCCTTCAAACATGGCGACCCTTCTCCTGAATCCTCTTAGTATAAAATTACAACTAAAATACAGCATGTCTTTCGGTTAGATAACCAGGGAATGGGTTCATACTGAACGAAATGTTTTGGTTGCAACACGAAACAAACGTCAATTAATTTGCCACAAACACACTGTATATTTCAATAGCAAGTGACACAAAACACACTTTGAAGACACATCAGCACTCTGAAGTCTCGGCTTCGAAGAACGTAACCATTTTCAGTGATAACTTACCTCTGCGGAATTCAGTAGAGCACCGTAATGGAACTCAGGACATGCCTCTTCATTTGATTCGGGCAATCCAAGTGTAAAACGCACTGTCTTTAACAATTCCTTGCTTTTCTTCTCCTTCTTATTTGTACTTAATGATGTCAAAGTATTTCTTTTTTGTTCTGACATTCTATACTAACTGTACAAATATCTAAAACGGAAATATTTCCAATTTAACGTCAACATATTTGAACAGCCTTCCTCCAAGACGCCATATTTTACTCAACTGTTATATTGTGCGCGGAGAAGTCGTGCGCAATAAACATTGCTTTGAACTATGGGAAATAGTTGTTGGGCGAGTTCAGAATACTATCTACTCTTTGGTAAAATTAAGGTAACAGAGTAACTAGCACAGATGTGTCAAGGTTGCTAGGTTATGTTCGTTTTAGTTGGCAAGGTGATGGGTGTTGTAAACTAGTATTAACCATAAAAATAGGAAATTGTAATTTTTAAAACCAATTCAGTATTAACAATGGCAGTGGGATATTTGAAATTCAACAGAAATTACACCCAAAGAAAGAAAATCTTTTTCTTACCGAATTTCGTATTAACCTTTAAAACGTACAACAAAGTTACCAAGGTGTTTTAATATGCAATGTAATTTAACAGTAATTCCAGAATAATATCCCGTAATGACAATCGTATTTCACAATTCTAAGTGATTTTGAAAAGGGAAAACCCACACAGATGATAATATTACATTAATTTTACACTGATGAAAGTTGACTTTTTGAGCATGTAACCACTGAGATAAGGTAAAAACAATTTCTGCTTTAACATTACAATTGTAGAATAAACACAAAGTGTAAGGTTTTTTCACTCTGCATTACAAAAAAAGGGGACATCAAGTTCACATATTAGTAATCTCAACAACAAATGATGGTGCTAATATTTATTTGCTACTGTTAAAACCCTCATGCCCTGTTCACACAAGTCCAAGCAATGAAACAATAAAATATAAAAATGTGTGTTCATCATTTAGTGATTTATGCACCATGTACTTGATCATTATTTTCTGGATGCTTGTAAAATTCACCCCAACTCAAATTTACTTCCAAAAATTAATATTGTACAAAAGTATGAATAAAGATACTGCATTTATAACACCAGATTTAATTTATGTGATCAGGAAGAATAATAACAATGTATACTGCCAATGTTCTACACTTTATACAAAATATGTACTAAAAGAAATGTACATCACTATTCCTTTTAAAGAAATTAAGGACAAATTAAAACAAAGAAAATCAAACAAAAGCATAAGAACCTTTTACCACAAGATGTCATGCAACAGCTTCAACTAAATGACTAAAGTAGCCTATTCTTAAGCCAGCTGTTTGTCAGGAATGTGCAAACTGGTTATTTTTCCAACCTCATTACACAATCAAACATATATATACCACACCACTTAATGTTGGCAGGATATTACAAGGCCACGAGTGTGAACACTCGCTCATTCTTTCCTTATGTCTTTATTTTTAGATGCTTATATTCTACTTTTTAATATTTCATTTCATTCAGTTTTTTGCTGCCCCCATTTCTTCTGCCTAGTTTACCTCATGGTTAAACTGAAGTGTGTTAACTGCATCACTACTGTATTACTGAACACACAAGAAACAAGACATTAACACAACTTTTTCTAAAATGAGTTATTGTAAAGAACTAGATGTTCATTTCCTTCACATTCTTCCATTTTTGCGGACAGGTCAGCAGAAATTAAAATTAATAATCATACAAATCAATATCTTTGTCCATAATTACTACAGATATACAGAGATTTTCTGTTCTTAAAATGTGACCAATATAATCCTAAAGCTATAACAATGTTTTCAAATTAAATACCCAAGATGTTTCACATAAAGTTTATAGGTTAAATTATAATCATACCAAATTTCATATGTTTTGTTACAGTGAGTTATCATCACATTCAACAATATACATGCACATTCTGCAAACTGTGACATTTTACTTTCCAGACAAACATTGCTTATAGGCTATTTAAGGAATATCCAATCTTACTACATTCAGACCTTGTATTAAATGGCACTAGAATTGCACTTACCTCAGAAGTCAGAAACCTGAAAATATAAAGGCACAGTGGCCTCCAACTGCATGAAGTGTATCTCCAGTGTCATGATAAATGATCAACAGTTTCATTAGTTAATAGGGAGGAGAGGCATGAGACAAACATTCACATACGGACATCATACCATATCAAATAATAAGAGAACGAAGCTAAAATACCAGTATATGTAACAACAGCAACTTTGCAGGACTTGAGGTTTTCAGGAGGTGAGTCTGTAGATGGCTGTCTTCTGGGCTGTTGCGCCGTGTAGTCTGGTAGAAGTTTACCGACGTTTCAGAGGTCCTTGCTGCCTCCATTATCACCATCAGTCGATAAACTTCTATCAGACTACAAGGTGCAACAACCCAGAAGACAGTAATCTTCAATAGCCATTTTATCTTACTAGATTAAAAACATGATTTCATGAGAATTTAACATAAACCATAAATATTTATCTAGGCCTTCAAATACGATTACAGTTCTCATTGGTCAAGGCAGTATTTTATGAAGTTTTTAATAAAAATTCCACCACCAACACCACAACTGTATAATACCCAAGATCCTATATCATTAAACCACTGCTATATTTTAACAACCTTTTCCGACATGTCAGCTACATAACAGCTGTGAAATGTCATCACACAAAAATCAGAATGTATGGAATTTTCAGTGGTGAAGATGACAATATATGGACCTATACATAAATACCAACATTTCAGCCCAAAAGATGGAAGCAAAACACTGATACCTACCTACAAGTCCACATGGCATTACTTTTTAGAATACCAACATAAAAAAAATGTTAGAACAGTTTTACTGAATAATACATATACCATACTTACTAAATATAAGACAATCTCCCTTCTCAATACTTCAGTTCATGGGGAAGTTACGAGGTTGGTTCAAGATTGAACTGGACTTTTACCCTTCATCACAGATGGTGGGAACACTGCTCTCACTTTCCACACACAACCATACCCTTCATGTTTTCACATTAGAAGTAGTACAAAATGTCACTCCAAGCTTTATCATCACATTTCTGATGTGAGAAAGTTAAACTGGCTAAAATTATCCTCAGGCTAAATGCACATTATGGGGAAAAGACTTTATCACATGCAATTGTGTATGATTAGGTCACTACAGACCACATGGTCATGTGCAACTGACAGCTGTCACAGATGTGAACATTCATTGCACTGAGGAGGTATTTATGAAAGAAAAGATGAATTAAAGTGCAAGATATTGTATCCACAGTACACATAAGTGTTGAGAGTAAATAGATAATCATTTGTGAACACTTATTGTTCAAGAAAGTGTGTGCACGGCGGATCCGAAGAAGCTGACGTTCAACCGGAAGGTAAATATTTTTCTGTGGATTCCGACCATTTGAACTACGCTGAACTGGAGGGAAATGCAATTTCTGAAATGAAGAGACTTGTGACGAGACATGGGTACACTGCTTCACTCAGAATCAAAGAGGTCCAGTTTAGAATGGCACCACAAAGGTGAGGTGCCCTGAACTGGCTATGCAGTCAGTCTTTGCTGCCGGCATTAGTGCCTTGCCACGGCAGTATAGAGGGACAATATAATTAAAGGGGGTAATAGTTTTGTGATTCTGACATGTATGATTCTGTGTAAATAAAAAAAGTCCAGGTCAACTCTAATCCACCTTCATATTTATTTGTTTTTTCAGTTTTAAGGATTCTGAAACTTGTGTTATAACACCCTCTCTTCTTCCATGATTGCACATGCCCACGATTTACAAATTCCAACAGCACCGCACAACTTAATCCCACGAGCTTTATCTTCTACTGACATAAAGTAGTACTTGAATATTTTATATTCTGACATGGCAGTCACCATTTAGCAAAGCTAAATTCTGCTCAGACGTCACCTCCTGCTTACTCCTGGCAAGTTACTATAAACACACAAAACAAATACAAGTGTGTCCAAAGTATGAATAGCTTTGTACTGTGATGTATATACCGTATTCACCCAAATATAAGATGACCCTTCACAATCTTAAATTTTCAGGAAAATAAAATTCATATTAGTCAGATTTTTGTCAGTCTTAATAATTTCAATTGGTCGAATAATTAGATCATATTTAAAAATGACTGTCTATATGAACATTATCCGCCCGTTATGCTGAGAAGACAAACAGTTATCAAAACTAAAAAGTTATTACAAGAGAAAGTCATAGCAGTTACAGTATTCATATTTTTTCCCCCAAATTAAAATCACCTTATTTACATACAATTATTACTGGAGCAATCCGGTTATGTCATCTGTTGAAACGAAAAATATTGTGCATGGCAATTTCAGTTGGAAAGTTTATCTTGGTTTTTTCATATAGCAATCAAAATAACTAGAATATCATGTGACTGATAAATGTGCATCAGTGATTTTCTTCATGAATGTGAATCCAAAGCAAATATGACACAACAAATGGATTACAGTTTGATCACATGATCTTGGATATTTCTCATGTTAGTCAACAAAATCTTCTCGGGCGATCAGTCGCGTCAGTTGGTTAAATGAAGAAAACAACATTCCAGTCAAATACAACAGTGAATGTGGGACTTGGGCTAGGGGAGGAAAAAATAATGGCATTTTGTTTTGCCATAATGTACAAATAAATGGCCCTCTAAAGAGGTCCTGAATTAAATTCAGTCCTACATCCAAATTTCATTATCAGTCCAATGTTGGACCAAGTCCAAGAGTTTAAAGATCCAAACAAAATAAAAGAAAACCTGCATGATTATCATATGGACCTCAAAGGTTTAGTAATCTTACAACAAAATTAAGTTGTAAAATTCACACAGATCCCGAATTTAAAATTCTACATCATTACGCTGCCATGAATCACTTGCTCCAAGCAGTTTACATTTGTAGTGGTACCACCGGTATAGAAAGTAAATTAATAAAATAATGTATGGCAATGATTTTGTTCTAACAGAGTGAGATGGGATCATTTGTGCCTCCATTCTGGTGTCTGAAAGTACATTTTCTGTTAAACTGTGGGTAACGCAAAACATTAAAAATGTTTGTATCTTTAAATATATGCACAGGAATGTACAACTAAGTTGTTCATACTCAGGACTGTGTATAGTATAATTTAAAGCAAAGCAATGTCACTGTAGTGGTTGTCTGCAACCATCATCTAGGAAGGCAAATCAATAGCAAATGAAAAAAAAAAAAGACATTCAATCTAAATCATGAATTACTGAATATACGGTCACAAAATATCTGACATATTAAACCTTATCACATCAGCCCACCTATTGCTGACTGTGGCACAATTATATCAGCAATTGGGCTTAATGTGGTTTCCTGACATCTGGTCCAATCTTCACGGCAGAAAATTGTTGCCCTAACAGCCGCATCACATCACCATGCTTTAGATCCGTCCTCGACTGTTTCACAGAGCTGTAGTTCTCCTTGACATAACGAGCAAACCCAGCAGGACTCCGTTTCTTAAGAGCCTCCTGTGCAATGGTGCCAGATTTCCTCCTGGTATTGATAAGGAGTTCAAATATGCCATAACAATGTCCACATCTTTTAGTGGCAACATTCAAGGATTTGGAATGACGACCAATACTGCAAAACAAGCATAAGAGGAAGATAATTTTTTTACCCTAAAATCATATATTACGCTTCTGTATTTTTACACAAAGTACACAAAATATATATAGTGAAGGTTGGGTTTGTGCATCTTTCTCTCCTGCATGTTTTATCTCTGAAACTACTGAATGTATTTTGATGAAATTTGGTATTTAAGGTTTATAATAAAAGATGTTGGGTGAAATATATATCATGTTCATATTGCTCCAATATAATTTCTTCTTTAATGAAGTTGAAATCTAGTCTTATCAATTATTTCCAAAATGGATCAACATTAAACAGGGTTAAAAAAATAACTGCGGCATAACTCTTGAAAACTACATAATAATTTAATTACATAACTCTGTTCCCAGAAATAATACGCTGAACGAGACGTATTCTGTCGGCAGTTACCTGTAGCCACATCCTGTGCATCTGTATGTGAATTTGGTCTGAATGTTGTAATCATGGCAGCGTTTTATTGGTGGCAGTTCTGGAAACACATGCCTAGCTTTCCTGGCCCTAAAAATAAAAACAATTACATTAACAATTAATGCCACCACAGGGTAGTTTCCTTGTCTCTCCCGGTGAAAGACAGGGCAATGCCTTGAAAAAGGATGTAACTGATGCTTCCCAAATCCTTGCACATACAATTAAAGATCATCTTCATAAAAAATTCAATACTATATAACCTCTGCAGTTCGCCGAAGAATCAATTACACCAAAATCATCCACACACACACACACGTTAACTCATGGTATGCAAAAATACCCTTTTATTCTTGTAACAAAATGCTAAACCTTACATACAGAAAACATTCAGTTGTGGTTTTATTGTATGTTTTACATCATGACATCTTTACCATACGTATATGTACCACACATTTTGAAATCAACTCTATATCCTGCTTCTTTCAACGCTTCCAGCTGTAGACTTCTGACCTTCTAGCTCTCTGCGTGTACATCAAAAAATAAGGAAGCCACATCAGAGGTGCACAGTACTCAATTCACTTGCAACGATTAAAAAAAATTTGAACTTGTCAAAGGACAGAATACATCAAAAAGCATATAAGTATTTTACAGAATGAAATTATGACAGAAATAAAACAACTTTCTTATTACCAAGCTTTCCAATGGGGTCCATGTCCATCCTTAATATCATCCACAACCCAAGTTGCTGCATGGCACAGCTCATGAACCAGGGTGTCTCGTAAGCGATCAGCTGTGTCACACACCTTCGTGAAAAGAAACATTCATGCCACATGGCAGTAAAGTATATCAGAACAATCCAATATTCTGATATGCCAATGGATATAACATAACAGTCACAGTAAAAACCAATCAAAGTATTTTTGACAATTTCATTCACCTCAACTTCATACAAAAAGTTTATCTAACACACATTGGGCAAGGCTACGCCTAAATGTAGATTGAATTATTAGTAATCATTTAATGGTATGAACACGATCCCCATCGTCCACCCCTGCACACAGTTTTCACAGTGTAATAGAATACAATCTACCTTCGTTGAAAGTTCAATTCGTGAAGTCCGGATCTTGGTTCCAGGCGCAATCACTGTCCGGCGATTATAACAGAAACCAGCTGTACGCTTCAACCTAACATTCCATTCCACAAGCATATCTTGAGGAAGCTTAAAGAAAATTAACAAACTGTGTTAGCAGGCTCACAAAATAATTAAAAAAAGTATAATGTCACTTATTAACTATGTAGAGGTAAGCAATAACGCTATGAAGATTCAGCAGCATGGAGTGGGGGGGTAGGTCAGCTGATAATGGTACATACATAGAAACTTCTGTATTAATACTGTTAATACACATTGCTTATCAACATTTTCTTATGTTCATTAATGCTTTTAGATGGTGTAACAAGTTTAACCTTTCTGGAAACATTTTTCACGAACTATTACTCCACATTTCTTATGAAATACTGGAGGGGGGGGGGGGGGGGGGGGGGGAGAGTAACAGGTAGGACAAACCATGAGGATCCTCAGTCAGGTCAGCTGGGATAGGAAACTGGATTGTGATGGGGTGTAGTCTTGTGGGTGGTTAAGATGGGTTAGACATGTGGGTCAGATGAAGGAAACAAGAGACGTTGGGGTGGGGACCTCCTGGCGAGGATGACATTAAATTAAATTTACCGGAGGTGTGAACTGAACTGGCCCGTGTTAGGAGCCGATAGTGGTTTTGATAATAGCAGTGTTGATCCTTCAGCTTCCAACAACGTAAAGTTAATTCTTCTATGTTAATAAACATGTTCACTTTTGGATGAATATGATAGTGAATTCCAAGAGATACTCGGGCATTCTTGTGTTAAATTTCAGTGCGATTCCGATTATTTTTACCTTTAGTTAGTTCCCCCTTTTTCTGCATCCAAAGACAATTTGTTATAAAATCTGAATAAAACAATATAAAATGCTGTTGGTCAATGTCCAATCTCATTATAACGCAGATTACTGGGATGACAGCACTCCATACCTATGACCCCGTACAATTAATATCTGTTCCTTACCTTATTATCAAAAATTTTATCATTGTACATTGTGAACAGTTTTCTGCATAGTTCTTCTTTCTTCTTCCCGAATTTATCTTTATAATACTGTGCTTCTGGGTGGCAGCGTCCACTTGGAGTTCCAGCTTCAAAATATAAACAGCAATCATTATATTTTTGTGAAAATAATTCAGGCAATGAGACAATAACATTAAAATGGGTGATGCAGATTTGCTTACTGACTCCATCATCCCCATCTGATGATGGAGGCACCAAATGCTTCAGAAAAACTGGTCAATTTCTATGAGACTACATGTCACAATATCCCAGAAGACAGTCACTGTGAGAACCTGAACTATATCACTCTGTGGGATTTTGTGAATATGCTAAACCTTCAGAAAATGTCTTCTTCACCAATAATTATCAATTACTCAATGACAAAATTCACAGAGTTAAAACACAACTAATCCTCTAGTAAAAACACACACACACATATATGCACTTGCACGCACACACTTGCATATGGAAATCTAATTTTTATACAAAAATTTGATGTCAAAATAATTTTGAAAAATGCAAGTCAAATAATTTATATCAATAAGTGGAATAATTTAGTCATTTTGGTAAAATATGGTCCCAGGAGTAAATATTTGAAATTACACAAATCATTACTAGGGTCCTTCAGTATGTAGTCTTGTGGTTAGTGTACTAGCCTATAATTCAAAAGGTCCTGGGTCCAACCCCAACTGTAACTACTAATAACAAAACAAATTATTAAAAAATGGGGTCCGCTGTGGCTGCACGGTTTGAGATGTGGATCTTGTGCCGCTTGGTCGCTGGGACCGTGTGTTCGAATCCCACTCAAACCATGGATGTTTGTCCACGTTTTTCTGTCCTGTGTACAGGTAGAGGCCTCGTGACGGGCCAATCCCTCGTCCAAGGAGTCCTACCGAATGTCTATAGATCGAGTCAACGAAATGTTGGGACCCGCAGTGCTCAGGCACTTGAAGAACGGGTCATTCCCAGTATCCCAGTATTATTAAAAAATATATCAGTGTAATGACAGCAAATCACCTGATGGCATGAGTGGAACCAATTTCCAAAATGTTGTGTATTTCAAACATACCTCAGAAAATAGTTTGTTCAACACAGTATTATCATTGGTACAGGAGTATCTGAGCAAGAATGGTATGACAGTGTTTTCACAACCTCAGAAACAAAAGATCTAGATCCTGCTAATTATCACCTGATCCAAAGAATAGTTTAATGCTTTTCCAACTGATGAACCACAAAAAATTATAAAGCAGGATGGTGAGAAGGCAGAAACAATAAACATTCCTGCACATCCTGTAAACTAAATTATATAAAATGGTGTGGATATATGAAGAGGCTTAGACACAGCAACCTGTGGCAGTGGAAACCTTATACTAGTACCTGAGAGTGATCCCAAGAAGCTGAGAACTGGAGAGCAAAACTTGTTGCCGACTTGTTTGTTTACACAAGACTTCAGTTTGGTTTGACCCACTGTCTTTGGAGTCCGTTTAACCAAAGTTTGTTTTACTGGAGACACTAAAATTTTCTGTGGCCTTTTCATATTTTTCTTTTTCTTTAAATCCTCTAATTTCTTATCACTGTTCTTCGTCTTTGGTTTATCATGATTTTTAATATAGCCATGCTCTTTAGCAGGCTCGTCATCACCATCATCACCACTGTTTGAAAAAGACAGCTGCCTGCATGCACCCACGCTGTATAGAGGCGTACTCCTGTCCGGCTTCCTATAATGAAATCATAACATAAGGGCAAGGTCTAGGCAACACGGAGTTTTCCTCCGGGGGCTTCCCCAGTTTCTCCGTGGCATCCCAACAATTACTCCATTCACACACAGAAGAAGGCAATGGCAAACCACTTCTGGATCATCTGCCAAGAACGTATATGAACAGGTCCCAGTCCGAGAAAAGGATGGAAGGATCCTGTTCATATGGACCTGTCGTCAGACAGAACACTAAATAAATAATAAATAACATAAGAGCAATTCTTAACTTATTTAAAAATGCTGTATGGCCTGCAGAGATGATAAGAATCAAATGAGGTGGAAAGATGATTATAAAAGGTGAACTACAACAAAACTATTTATTTACAAATCTCATGGGGTAAATTTAAAATTAAAATATAACGCTATGTTACTCTATAAGTCAGACAACACTGTATCTCACACAGCCACTGACAAAAATCAGATTGGAAATGTGTAATACGCATGTCATAAAGGTCCCAAGGGCGTTCCTTGTTGCCACATTCAATGGCTGTAGGATCAAAGAGTTAATACAACTACTGACAGATGACTGCAAAACAGGTTCAGAACACAACAGACAGGTAAATGCCTGCTCATAGTGCTTGGAGAACCTAGTGTTAAAAAAAAAGTCTCAAGATTCATTGCAACTCAGAGATAACATCATCATGGTGGATTTTCCTTCATGATTGCACGGCTCGCTGAAGATTCCCCACTGTCACTTCCACGTACAAACAAAAGGCTCACAGTGATGTAGGCAACTCCTGGGTCATGGCTGGCTCTGACCCATAAGACCTGGAGTGGGTAGTATTAAAGTTGGACAAAGGGTCTTGGCTCGATCTACTCCACAAACATGGCAGGCAGTAATGAAAATAGGGTGGGGGAGACAATCCCAATATGATTAGCATGCAAACTTAGTAATCAAAACATCCCGTCTGATCACAATTGGGTGATTACAACATTTATTTATTTATTTATTTAGTGTTGTCTGACGACAGGTCCATATGAACAGGATCCTTCCATCCTTTTCTCGGACTGGGACCTGTTCATATACGTTCTTGGCAGATGATCCAGAAGTGGTTTGCCATTCCCTTCTTCTGTGTGTGAATGGAGTAATTGTTGGGATGCCACGGAGAAACCGGGGAAGAAGCCCCCGGAGGAAAACTCCGGGTTGCCTAGACCACGACCTTGCCCAACACAAGTTATAAATTCGAACCCGAGACCCCAGGTTTACAAGGCCAGCGTTCTAACCGCTGGACCACCGTGGCTATTTCTGAATATATTTTTTTTTAATTTAGTGTTCTGTCTGAGGACAGGTCCATATGAACAGGATCCTTCCATCCTTTTCTCGGACTGGGACCTGTTCATATACGTTCTTGGCAGATGATCCAGAAGTGGTTTGCCATTGCCTTCTTGTGTGTGTGAATGGAGTAATTGTTGGGATGCCACGGAAAACTCCGTGTTGCCTAGACCACGGCCTTGCCCAACAACAATGTGTTCCAATGACCTTGGTTCTAATTACAGCAACAATGTGTTCAATGACCTCATGTCATGTAGGTTACCTAGTTCCTACGAAAAGTGTAAAAGACATGAATGCGTCCATAAAATGTTCTTCTTGCATGCTTGACCAGAAAGAACATTTAAGAAAACTTACTCAAATTACAGCATATGCCGAAAGGATCTCAGTTGTTCCACGTGCATTCCTAGCATCCATGTAAAATGTTTAAATTCACAAATGTAAGTTCGCAGTACCTGTCCTGTGATTTGACAGGACATTTGGAAAAATATTACTGTACAATGAAAACTTACCCCAAACAACAGGTCACTACTAGTCATTACAAATAATAGCTAAGAATTCTGTTCAATTACCAATTCAAACACAATGCATCCTGCTTAACATCCTTGCTATTACACACATTCTGATAGAATGTAAGAGAGTTGTCATAATCATCATCATCAATAAAGTCTGGTGTTGCCAGAACAGAATTCCTTCGGGTTGATTCAAACTTTTGGCGTACATTCTTCAAAACTGAAAAGAAAATAAACAAATAACTTCATACATCTATTCACGTTTACTTTTGAAATGTGGAACCTGGAGATTGTTTATATGTTCTTCAAATTATGAAAATACATAATTACAAGGTTCTGTCTAAGTTTCACCTCCAAAACCACTAAAGAAAGAAAGAAAGAATGTCCTTACTTATAAGAAACATGATAATCCAATCTTGTACACCTACCACTTCAATTCACACTCTATTTATCAAGTTCCGTTTCAATAGTACCTTTGCATATCTGTTGTTGGACATGATCATGCATGGTATGACGTAACTTTAAAACTAAAATGTCGAGAATACTAGACCTAACCACTAATTTCCAGGACCCTTAAGCCAGCATCATTCTGACCTTCATCCTATCAATGGGAGCAATGGATATTGTGTCGTGGGTCAACAAAATTAGCAGGACCCATATAAACACAAAATGAGTCAACACAGCTACACAACTGGACAAATTTTTAATTCACAAACTTTACTTACAGTTATCAAACTCTTCACTGTCAGTACTACTGACAACAGATTGTCCACTCTTGGCTACCTTCTGCTTCTTACTGAAAAAATAAATGTAACAATCCAGTGCTTAAAAGGGCTGGATAATAAATACTTGGGTTATTTCAGGTCACCTAAAAACAGCAGTTTAAATAAGTTAACACCTTGAATATCAATAAAATTCTGTAAATTTGTTGGATCTGATAAATAAATGTAAACATAACCTCACCTTCTTGCATCGGTTAGCCACAGATATGCAGCATTTTAAGGTTTCAAATTTTCTTTCAATTGGAATGACTAAAATACTTAACTGTAGTTAATATACGTTGCTCATTTTTGTAGCAATTAAAAGCTCTTAAATGGGGTGATTTTATTTTCATTTGTTTTTTGGTTGGCTGAATTTTTTAACTTAGCCTTTGACTTTAATTTATTTAGAGATATATCATCACATTCATTTAAGATTTTCTGTAATTATTTCCTGATCATCTAAGTAATTCATGAAATGAAATGAATGGTAAGAGCTTATTTGTTTATTTTTCTGCAAGAGCTGTGATGCACTGAATTGTTACTCAGATCCAGACACTTTAAAACTCGTACAAAAGCAAATGTTTGATTTTCATTAGAGAGTTAGATATATTTTAACACAAGGGTTCTCAAGACCAGTTTTGGAATATATCACTCTACAAAAATAAAGAAGTTACTAATTAAGAATTTAATTTAAATGAATGATTAACATAACTCAACAAATCTGTTATAGAATTTGAATAATATGTGAACTTGTGATAACAAATTAGTTGCAATTTTAACAAACTTCCATGATGTATCAGTAACTTACAATATGTTTCCTTCATGACCTGAACATATGCATTCCTTGTCTTCAAAATCCAAGCAAAAAATCTAGCCCATCCTAATATTGGTTTCTCTACCCCAAAATTACATACATACCATTCTGACCAAGTAAACACTCCATCCAGTGATGATTATAATACATAGCTTTTTCTCAGTGCCCCTTATAAGCCTTGAGGTGGTGCTTCGGCACAGAGAAAACTTTTAGTGTTGACAAACCCAATCACCAAACTTGTCACTTAAACACTGTGTTTAGTTATTCAGCCCACAAAAACCAATTTAACTTACCTAATGCGGCTAGTCAACAAGCTATAAAGATACACTCCATACAAATTATATTAATGACAAAATGGTAAAGAATTTGCATAGGCTTATAAGCATTTCATACCATTCAGTATATTGCCTAGCAACAGGCACATTTCTTGAGCATTTCTTTTTACAGGGTACTGTATTATGCCTCTTTGAATTTGCATTCTGTTTGCGCCATGCTGTTCCGTACAAACTGTCCAGGATTTCTTCAGCTGATGAATTCAAATCAACATTAGTATCTGTACTTCTTTCAGTCTCTTCAGTCTTCTGTACGCTATTTCCTTCAAGTGTTTCATCAGCATCATCACAATCACTTTTGTCTAGAGATTTTACATTTGATAACCAATTTTTAATGTCCTGATACTTTGCTTGGTTTAGTTGGGGTGGTGTGGCTGGAAGTGTAAATTCTACATCTGTAACATGACCTCCTTCATGTCTGGTGTTACTACAAGTCTCAAGCTTTGAATCTGAGTCCAAAGGGCTTCTTACAATTGAATTTGAAGAACAGGGGGCCTCATTATTTGCTCCTAATACATCATTTTCACCATCAGATGTATCTCCAACTACCTTACATTTCACTTTTTGCACATCACTCCTTTGTTCTTTAGTTACTGAAGTTAATGAATGCTTCATTTGTCTTTTACAAATAGAATTTGAAATAACACTTGAAGTACTACTACTATCAGATATAACAATGATACTACCATTCACTCCATTATTTTTTCCCTTTTCATATGATCTTTGGTCCACTGAAGAACAGCTTGACTCTGGAATTAACACTACAGAGCATTCTGGGGCATTCTGAGAACAGGAAAAATATCGTGAGCTTCCACATGACGACCCAGATGATTTCCCACATGTTGATATACAAGTATTCATTTTGGACATCAAATCATCTATTGTATTTTGATTGGAGCTATTCATTACTACTTCAATTGAACGTTTCTTCCTTGAGGACCCATTTTCAAGACAGTGATCAGATGAAAGTTTACGGCACCTTTTGTGATCATTCTTGGCAGTAGTTGTGCCTAGCCATCCTGAATCACAAGTTGAATCCACAGTGCACGAGTCAATTCCTCGGTTCTCCTTTCCTTTACCAACACGTGATTTAATGACAGGTTTATCATGCACTGCACCAAAGAACTGCTTAACATTGTCACCAACAGCAAAATCTATTTTTGGTAACGTTTCTTGCACACTTTTTAAATTGTTTGTAGAAGTACATTTCTCCTGACAAGGAACTGTGCCTTTCGTTTTAACTGAATAAAGTTGTTTGTGCCTCAGTTTAAGTTTTGAAGATCCTGCAACAAGAAACACCCGTCACAAAATTAGGTCAAGGCTCATCAAACACCTCTTGACAGAAACGAAGTTCAAAATTTCAAAATAATTTTCATATTGATATTATTACTTACTTTTGCTTGCACTCGATAACTTCAAATTCTTCTTCGCGTGGGACGGGCTGAATGTTAGTAAAGAAAAATCTAGGTCCATACTTCTGGATGCCCTGAAATCTAACACAGATATTTAAAAAACAATCATTTTAATTTTCACACACTTTCTAACACTACTTGCAGTACACTAGTGTCTTTCAACTTACCTTATACATAAATCATTAAATATTTAAGAAGAGTTTGAAATGTCAAAAACTAATTTAAATCTGGACAACCACATACATCCGTTACAGTTTCTCGCCCTTACCATAACCCGAGATGTCGTGATATACGAGAAAGCTGTTGGCAAGGGCAACGGCTGAAAATTTACCGCAGAAGAAATTACGTACTCTTAATTCTAATCGTGATACCATAGTTAATACCAACATGCTACAAACTATACGTGAGTTTGCAGGGTTCAGTGGCCCGCGTAAATCGAAAAGTGCTTTGGTTTACAGAATCCATATTTCTAGGTGTGGCTAAGAGAATTTATTTATGATTTGTGAACACAAATCTACTTTTGCAGTAAAGTTGGGAGTGATACAAACACAGTTTAGTTTTTTGATATGTGGTTAAGTCTCGAATTCTTATGACAACAGGATCTCAAGTTATTATTAGACTTATAATCAGCCATTGTCTTACCATTAGTAATCTGAATTTGATAATGACACATTTTATTTTAGCATAATTTTCTTCCACTGATAAAGATATCCCCTCAAGCAAACATATTTCTTATTGAAACACAGATAAACCTGCTGAAAGTTGCACTTTTATCTTTTCAAATTTTCATTAACATATACACACACTCCTTTCTTAGTTCAATTTACCATTGTCTGGACTTTAGTTAAAGTTTTACTGAAAAATTTTGGTTTTGACATTTTGACATGGACTACCAACTTTATTTTGAAGACTAAGCAAAGAATATATCAGAAATATTACAATAAGAATGTAAAAAGCTCTATACATGTTGTTACCTTAATGCAACGTTGTATTCAGAAACTGCAATAAAATGTTGATTCTTTGAACTGTGAACAAGTTATGTTAAGGCTTCATTTTAAATAATGCAAATATGTAACAAATTATTTCCAGGAATATTTTTGAACACCAGGAATGCAAATTTAACACTGCTAATAGTTAATAAACTATTACTCCTTTCCTTATACTTATTTCTGTGTATGTTTCACTCTGGATATATATGGAAATTGTCTTAATACCAATGGCTCAACAATAACTTTTATTTTGCTTCACAACTAATACAAGAACTGAACTTGTCAACTTTTTGAAGGATTCAAAATTTGTTCTAAAATAATTTGTGAATTTCTCATCTTACAATTCTTAGCAAAAATGTGTAGACACCAAATTCATATATTCTTTCATTTGTGGGATGAACACATCAATGTACGTATCTGTTTCCTTGTCACTGTTGCCATAATATTGTTGCAAATAGAGCAATCAAATACACATCTATGCTGGAAGAAATCTGGCACAAGACTGGTCTCCTCAGCAGCTTGTATTGGGTTGTTTTGACTGGATCAGGAGAAACATGGATGAGAAATAACTGATAAATTTTGCTTATGAAACATTTCATTCACGCTCGTAAGGTTCTTTTACATATCGTAAATCTACGACATGGGACTGCTGGCTTTACTTCCCCTCTGAAGGAAGCTGTGCTACAAATTTTTATCACCCTTAAAAATCCATCGACCTCAGCTGGGTTTGAACCCGCAAACCTTGGATCCAGTGGCAAGCACGCTACCACTAGTCCACCAATGATACAGAAATAGCTTAATAGTAATCTAAAGGTTGTAGCTGGGATTTCATTTTAGGAAGGACAAGGTCAGTTAATATAATAATTAAAAATTAAATTTGACAATTTTCAAACAGTTTGGTCAGGAATTTTTTTCAAACCATTTCAGTCACTTCAGAAAGTAGGAGGATTTAATCAGGTGGTATCATTCCTTTCCAGAGCCAGCAGTTCTGGTTCACAATCTCATGGAAGAGAGAGCATCAGCCATTCCAGGTTATGTGGCACTCCCGAAGTCCTGGGAGGCCCTGACCAAGGTGACTAAAAGGCCCAGGTCTGAGGGAAGAACCCTATTAAAGAGGCTTAGCCCTCTACAAAGACCCTGGGACTATGTGAAAACTAGGACCTCTAAAAGAGCTCTCATCGAGATCTTGCTACGCAGGATACTGTACTTCATGGGAGGTACGGGGCTACTGGTGGATCAAGTGAATAGGAATGCACAAAACAGCAAGAAATGATCGCAGTGCAAGGGTCGGTTAGGCACCCACCCCATTTATAATCAAATCATGCCTTTAAAATTAGTTATTACCAGTAAACAGGGTACAAAAATATGTAAACTGTACACATTCTTGGAGAAAATAAATGTTATTATTTATAAGGCTGTACATAGGCAGAATTCTTCAACTCTCTGAAATCTTAACAAGAAAGTGCAATACTTACACAATACATTACTGTTTTACTATACGCCAGTAACAGGTTGAAGCTGGCCAGATCCAAGTACTCATTATGCAGTTCATCATTACATAATGGTAGTGGTAATTGTATTTCATCATAAACCACAAGATAAAATGCTCAACAGGGAGCACAGTATGTAAGGACACTTTTGTAAATTAATCTAAAATGACAGTGTTAGACGATAAATATTAAGAATAAAAAGGTACGCAGCAACAAAAATGCTAAATAAATACACTTTAAAATTAACAAACAGTAATGTACACTCTACAAGCTGGTTGTGACTTCATTAAATGTGGCTAGCTGCATCATACGTATTATTGTATAGTCTTAATTTAGTGTTCTTTTAAAATACAGTTTACAGTATTAAAAAACCACACCTTTCTTTACAATCAACCCTTTATATTACTGGCTACAAAAAAGGAAGAATTTTGACACAAAAATATATATTCTATGAAACAGGAGATAAACACAAGAAATGAGCACTATCTATATGCTTATACGTAGTTCCTGTTCTGTGTTAAGAATAAATATTTGGGCTGCCATAATTAATAAATTAAATTTATTAATCATTTGTTCAAAAAATCAGATTAGACTCAGAGCCATTCATATTTTAAAATTTGGATGCAAAATTCAGGTTTTAAATAATGTATAAATTTGGCATATTATGATGCAAACCATTGTAACTGCATAACATGGATGTATCTTGACATGAATATTGATGACGGGTTACTTTAATGCATATTTTTTACTTTGGAAGAAAATTCTGCCTCTGATCCCTCTCTTGCAGTCCAATGCTGTTCGGAGTCACCACTGTTTACCAGCTCATGCATCTCAGAAACATTGTCGAAAGCATATTATATGGTTTTCAGTTGACGGATGAAGAGAGAGTGTTTTGCGACACTGCACGATTCTCACGTCACCTGAAATTTGGAGATAGCATAGAAGGCAGACTATGTATACTAAGTGCTGAATGGCTTATTAACTAGAGTTCTTCAGAACTGGATTTCGACAACATAAAGAGAGAGCTCATTTTCTGTCACTTCTGTGATGGAAATTTCATAATTAACGTGTCAAAAATTATATTGTGAATAATTAGTTTTCTGAATGTTGGTTTCACCCTTCAGCGCTGGCCACCATACAAGTATAGTTATTCACATAGTTAAAACAGCAGTCTTCTTGGAGGTTACACCATGCAGTATGCTAGATACTAACATTTCAAAGGAACATGATGTTTCTATCTTCAGGACTGAAGTGAATGCTGAACTTGGAGGCAGAACTCAACAACCCAGATGACTAAAAATCTAAAGTTGCACATTCTTACATTGACTGTTTGACTATCGGCTGAGAACGCAAGTCATTATTAAGTCCTAAAAATCATTTACATGGTTTCTTTTTAATCTTATTTTATTTCCTTTGTTAAACTAATCCAAATACTTTTTTTAAACCTGATCTATAACTGGATTATTATTATATTAACGTAGGTTAACATACAAATCAATTGGCCTGTCCCCTCTTATTATAAAGACTTTACAAATACTTTATGTTAATGTATCCCCAGTGTTCTATGTTGTAATTCAATTCTAAAATCTTATTTAGATGGGTGTCATCACTTTATGGAAAATACTTTTTATTTAAAATGGTGATGCTGTGAAGATGGCTGTTTTCTGGTACGTTACACTATATAGTCTGGTAGATATTGGGCAATGTTTCAGAGTAGCTTACTACCTCCCTCATCAGGGTGATAAGTAAGCTCCTCTGAAATGTTGATCATTATCTACCAAACTATATGGTACAACATTATAGAAGACAGTCATCTTCATATTCACCAGTGGAAAACCTCAAATATTACTTACTAACATGGCATCCCAAACTTGATTTAATGGATGTCACATGATCATGTCAGGTTCTGAAGTTTTTTAACATTTACTACAATACAATCACAATTCTCACTTGTATACCCAAAGTCTTATCTTAACGCTGGCACTCCAGTTCAGACGTCTTTATATGCCAACCTAATTAGAAAGTATACTGACCTAACATTTTTAACATTCAGACAGAGAAGTATTTTGTGTACATTTACTCTAAATTACTTGTTCTTTCTAACGTAATCATGTGTATATTACATGATACATCAATAGAAATATTGACCAGTTAACACCCCTAGTCTACATGCATCCTACAAAATTCATATTCCAGTATGAACGTTCCGTGAACAAAATCCATCATCACACTGTCAAAAATAAATTATTGATCAGTCTTTACTTTGTTAACCAAATACATAGTACTTGGAAAAAGTAGTTGATATAGCTCATATACAGATATGGCCATAATAGTTTAATAATGAACACTGAATTTCCCACATTAACAATAATTATATGCCAGTGGCACAATAAAGCACATAATATTCATTACTTTTTCACTAAATTTATTGAAATATTATATGATATTCCCTCATCTATTAAAGAGAAGTGCACTTTAAACAATGTTATCACTTTTACTTTTAATCTCAAAAAGTAATAAGAGAACACAGCTCCTTCATGGATCAAGGTTCCCATTAAATGCAGTAGGATTCATAAATTTATACTCAACGAGTCGAGACCTCACCTCTGGAGGTTTCCGAGAGGATACCATTCCACTGTTTCAGATTCAAGGTCTACGCTGTCAAGTGGAAGCAATACGCAGCCAAGGAACTCATTTTCCTGAAGCGTGTCGTGATTCCATATTGTTGCTTGCAGACGTCGTCTACGCACGACATCTAATGGCATTCGATATTCCAGCTATAACAACGTTCATTAAATTAGTAATTTTGGTTATCATACACCAAATATTCAAATTGTCACAAATTTAAATTTATAAAACAGCAAAGTACGGATCATAAGAATGACATGTGAAGGAAGATTAGTACCAGCTTAAGAGAGTTTTGTAAAAAAATTTTTGCTATAACAGGATCAAAAATTACTAGGTAACTCCATGATACAAGGTCTTTCTTGAGAACTGGTCAAGGAATTCCATACCTTTATGGCCTGAGAGTCCATCATTGCATTCAAAATTAGTAGGCAGAGGTGAATGGTTAGGTTCACACTGACCTTTCTTTATCCCCCTTCTCCCCACAGAGAAAGAGGCGCACATACCCACTGGATACAAGACTGAGCAGACCACAGAGATTTTACGGACGTGGTGATAAATAAAAATATTTTTTACCCTACCAGAAATTGAACCAAGTCATTCAGTTCACAGGCAGTCATTCTACTGACTAAGGTATCCTGGATCTCTGCTATATCAAATGGTAATATTTAATTATTCCGTATTTGCACCACACCATTTAAATTAAATTGTGCTGACTCACCATCTCCATGAAAGTAGGATGACAGTTCCTACGTACAACTTTTGTCTTCCTCTTGGTAACCTTTGATTGGTCAGGGAGAAGGTACACCTTCACGTAGGGTGATGGTTCCTGTCCTCCAGCTACTGTAGACAGACTACGGGCATGGTGTACCATTACCATAAGTGTTCCTCTCTGGTAATGTAGAGACAACCGTAGCTGACCACGAACACGTCGTGATTCATGGTTCGATGTCCTCTGAGTCCGTCGTTCTTAAAAGAAGGCATATGAAGGGCATGGTAGAAAATGTACGTGAAGTCACAGAATGAATTGCAAATTTAATTTTCCGGAGTAAGATTCTAAACTAAACACACGGTATGTGGATCTTCCCAGAAATCTCGATAGTTACTCAGATGGTCAACCAGTTACCACCTTTTGTGGAAGCATAAGGTTCTTCACTGTGTTCTTGTCTTAGGTATCTGAATCCAGTCCACACCCTGATAATATTTCCGTAACATATTTTAATATTACCCTCCCATCCATGCCTAAGTCTTTCAAGTGATCTCTTTCTTTGAGGTTTTCAAACCCAGACCTGAGACAACTCAACCAGGGGGCCCAACAGCTTGGGTTTCTATCCTCCCCCTTATACCTGAAGACAGTAGATGATGATTCAGCTTACGAAACATGATTTTATTGAAATACAGATAATTGCCAAAGTCCAAAACACGACTTTTACAGATTATAAATTTTTTCCATTTGCTGCAACATTTGATTTTACTCCTTGAGATATCCATCTATTGTGATGTATCTGAAGTCATATTTGAATCTCACAAAACTGCTATGCTAATGAAAGTTTTGTGTTCTAAGTGTAATTTTGACACTTTGGCAACATTTCTCAATTTGAATTATATGACTGTCAAATAAAAGTTTGTAAATATAATAATGAGTCGACTGCTGTGCTGGTAATTTTTTAGAATTTTTTTATATTTACATAACAACCTAACCCCCATTATGAGTGCAAATTTTCAACTTAAAATTACATTCTTTTAGGAAAGGGACAGACTACTGGGGACTTTTTAATTTGCTGGTATAGGAAGCCATCACAAAGAAAGGAATAGACTGGAAAGAGAAAATGAAAGATTCTGGGAAGAAAGAATTGCAAATGAAAATATCCAGGGCCAAGAAAAATTAAATGGATAATGGAGGTTACAACAGACTGAATAAATCACTCAGATGTGAGAAACAAATCCAATAGGGAAACTTCAGAACATGAGATGTTAATATTAAAATGGAAGTCGTAAACTAGATTGTGAAGATGGCAACTGAACTGGCCGAGGATCATGACGTGTCAGGCTATGTTATTGGTGTTTAATTTTCAGTTTCTGTTGTCAGAAGTAGAGTTGTATTGGGGTTATAAACATTTCTAATGATAAACACAAAATTACCTTTAACCTTCGCTGCATTGATATTTGCCTCCTGTTGGTCCCTCAGAAGAGGATGGAAGAACGTGTAGACAATATCAGAATGAGAAATCTCATCTGCCATGAGAAACAATGTGCTCAAGAAGCGTTCGATGTCCACACGTCGTCGTTCTGCAACTTGCTTTATGTTGGATCTGCCTACAGAGAGGCCACTGGGCAAACTGAAAGAAAAAAAAACAGACAACTGTTTATACCAAGATAACATTAGAACAAGCATCACCGGCCAATTTCAATCATTTTAGAATGTAGAAAAGATGGCCTTCTGTTTAAATTATCGAAAACAGTCTAGACACTTCTGACCTGACAGCCAGTGGAAAGTTACAACATTTATCTTATTGAGTGTTAGGATGCACAAGATTTCACACAATGCATACTTTAGTTCTTTCAATACATGCTTAAATTTAAAATTACAAAATTCACGGTTCATCAATTCTATGCACAATCCCACTTACATATATAACAAGTCTGTATCAAGCAGCAATGTTACCTTCATAGCTATATGTGGGGGCAATGAGGTTTACTATGCAGTAATTTTACTTGTAGCACAACCAAAATTTCATTAACACTACTGTCTCAAGTAATACCGCAAACTGAAAACTGATACCTCGTAAGAATATTATCAACTTAGCAGCTGAAAATACACATATGACTGAATCATCGCACATAATTTATCATGATTGGAGACACCTGCTTATCCTCTGCCCTAAATATTTTATCTTCCCTGATTACACATCATCAGTTATGTTGATGTAAGATTCATGAACCTGCTATTAAGTAATTTGTATGGAACTGGGAGTGGTCTGTGATAAGACTTGCTTATCTACATCAATGGTATTACTGACTGATGTCTCACACAATGTGACTGGTGTCATAAAATGGGAGATTATAATTGTTTCCAAATGGCAGGGCTGATAGCTGACAGGTGATAACAAAAAGGTTGCACAAACATACTTTAATGTACCACCAACAGAACAGAGCGCAGTACACTAAAGTCAAGACAGGTTATCCACATGTCAAAAAATGCTGGAAGGTATGTTGTTACACATTTCTGTATTATAACAAATTTATCTCCACCTATCAAGTTATAGTATGTTATTTTACTATAAACTGACATCTGCTAAAAATTTCTTGGTTTCATCTTTAACAAAGAAGTCACATGCAATTCACATTTGCAGGTAAATTTGTCATATAAAACTACAGTGCGACATCAATTGAGACTTGAAACATCAAATACAAAAAAATATATTTCTCTGTGAATAAGTAAAGATTACAGCATGTATTGCTGTGCTGTATTTTTAATGTATCTGAATTAAAAATATCAACATGAACAAAGGCATGGGAACAATACACTTCATTTCTATATAATCAGTTCCATTCATTTTCACGCCCTTATACCAAATCAGGACATATGAAATGGCACAAAAAGGATCATAAAGGACCAGAACAAGGGAAGCATTGTTCAGGATTGTCCTTATGTGACTTACGGCTTGCAAGAAGTTTTACTGTGTAAATATAGTCCTCAAATCTCCTACAGAGTGTATGGTAGGGGAGGTGATACTGAGTATAAATGATTATCCAAACAATGTATGCATACCAGTGCTTTGTGAACGCGTAAGTATAATATATAAACGAGTAATGAAATAAGTGAAGAGGAATGAAGATGAAGCTGTATTACAAGAACAAGCTCTGTGAAAAACATACGATGCCCATTTTTCAGATGTTGTACTCTGTGTGGTGTTGCCAACAGAAAAGTAATAAATAAAAATAGTACCATTACCCAAGTTAGTGATCCACTTCTGAGCATAACTCCCATAGTACACATCTATGTAAAATCTGTTAGATACAAAAAAATTTCACATCGTCTACATGTTAGTAGCTGGTAATATATAAAAATAATATTTTTCATAGAACACATATCCACCTTCATGCTCAGCACCAATGGTACTTTAGTCTTTACTGAGCAGCTACTAAGTTGTTCTGCATCTATGCTAGTAGTGTCATTACTGTTGCTTCAACTTCAAAGGGAGTGGCAGCTGGCATTAGTAACATAAAATTGTAAAATATGAAGGTGGGGTTGCAGTTAATGACAGTGACGTTTATACCACATTTAAAGGAAATCCACTAATTGGCTCGAAAGAAGTTCCAGGGAGAGAACACGTGGACATGACACAATCTTCCTTATAAAGTACTTTAAATAGCTCAAAATATGTTTTAGTATGGATCTCAGTGTGCAGTAGAACAAGGAGACTTTCACTGAGTATATTGGTAATTTAAGCCACAATGTTACTTATGTTAAAAATTAAATCTGGATTACAAAGAATGCATTTGGAAAACATGCAACTTTTCACTGTTATTTATCGCTGCATTTCTAAGATTCTTTAGCAAGAGCTTTGCAGATATAATCAGATTCATATCAAAAGTACTGATGTACCTTAAAAGCCTAAACCATACATACAGACTTGCTGAATAGTTCCATTCAAAAACATTAGTAATTTCACTTGAAACCAAGAGACAGAACTGCCGTGCATTACAGAAATGGCTGGAGTCAACAAAATGTCATTTCGATGAATGCCAGGAGCTACTATAATCACTTTAACTCACATCTTAACAAGCACCATCCTTCCCAGCACATATTCCACACTGAACGCTTGAAATAATAAATATGTTTCCCATAGTTGCAGGTAATACTGACATACTAGCAGTCACCACACTGTCAGTAATTCTGCTGATCATGTCTTTGATCATGGGACTCAAGATTCACTGGTTTCGTGCTCGAATGAATATGAACGCAACTACGAGCAGCGACGAACTGGGATCATTAGCTGGCGTGTATCGAAGCCAACCTTTTGAAGTGTCAAGTTCAACTCCCCTAGCAACTCAGCCACACAACAATTTAACTGCAAGCAGTTCATCACATAAATCACTTGCATCACCACTTTCAGCACAATTATCGTTACCCTTATTATCAGCAAATAAGTTTAAAATTAATTCAAAGAAGAAACTTCCAGCTTCTTCACCTGAAAATCTACCTGTCGGAGAATCACAGCCAACAAAACACAAACAAGACAATGAAGATGGGAAAAAGAAGAAAACTAAGCCTACATCTGGTAATAACACTCTCTTAGCGCCAAATGAACTTCATAGTTCTACACAAATGACTTCACTGACAAACCTTTCTGTAGGGCAGTCACAGCCATCAAATCAAAAGGAAAAGAAAGAAGGTGGAAATAAGACAAAATCTTTATTCTCATTTACTAAAAATCCACTTCCCAAGCCAGAGAACCATAACAAACCACCTAATAACTCTGTGCAAAATCCACCAGTGTTTGCAGTCACTAAACAACAAAAGCTGTCAAACAAAAAAGAAAAGAACGCAGATGGAAACAAATCCAAAGTACTCTCTTCAACCAGTAAAAATCCACTAAGCAAACCAGAGAAAAATAATCAACCAGTGGATGTCAAAAGTCCTCCAGACAGCATGGGGCAGAGTATGAAGCCAAAAAGCAAAGTTCCTGCCCCTAAAGGTATTCTCCAGAAGGCAAAATCACCACCACTTCCAAACACAGATGATAATGCTCCTTCACTAAAACTGACTGGTAGTAGTACGTCTCTCAAACTGACTGATAATAGTTCAGTTACTCTCAGACAGACAGATGACAGTTCACCTCTCAAACCAACTGATGGCAATTCATCTCTTCTCAAAACAAAAACACCAATTCCATTATATATTTTAGAGCAGGAAGAATCAGAGTCAGAATCATAAAACAACTGACTGGAAAAAACATTGCTTCTGAAAACGTAATGGAGACATTCTTAAGTGAAGTACATATAAGAGGTCACAGCCGTTAAGTAAATTTGTTAGAGGCAACATTTCAACGAGTCTTGTGACTTAAATGGTGCGTAAATAAAAATTTCACATTTCACTCTAGGGTGCTACGGACAGTGATGAAATGCAAATCAACAAAAAACAGTATGAGACGTAAGAGCCATTTGAGTGATAACATTGAGAGATAATGGTTATGGCACTACCATCGTAGCAGTCACTAGGAAGGACTGAGGAAAACAATTGAGACCCTCAGTCAACACATCCCCTAACCAAGACGCCAATCTGATACCTCTATAACATACAACAGATGCATTACCATTGAGCTAACCCATTCAACAATTACAAATTGAAGATCTGAGATGAAGAGGACCGGCATTTAGCTAATAATTTATCAAGCAGAATGATTTATATTAAACAAGATTAATTTCAATCTTCACAAATTATGAACTGTATAAAGAAATGGACAGTTTTCTTGAAACAGGTACCTACAAGATATCCATAAAGACAAGGTCAGTAAAGGTACGTTCACTGTGCTCTAATTTGAAATTCTGACACTTACGAGTATTATACATTCTTAAAACTGCAGAATCAATTACATGTTTGGTGAAAACAAGTGTAGATTTTGACAGCCCATGTAGGTCAACTGCCCATTATGTGTGTACATATATAATATCAGTGCCATTATTTGGTGATTCGATGACAATAAAGATGATTAGGAAAGCAGAGGTGGTATAAACGGTACCTGAACAAGACAGCAGAAAATATTTTTGAAGTATCCATTTCCTGAGATTTTAGACTTGTCTGAATGTGATGATGATTCACGACAATCTATCGAAGGTAATTTTAACTATTTGCGCTGCAGCCTATCGGTGGTAAAGTGCAGGTAAGAGACATACGAGGACAGAAGAAAAAGGCACAAGAGGTATCCATTTCCTAAGACAGTGTCATCTTTCATAAAAGCGGGAGAGCAGAAAAGGTATCCAACAGTTCTGTCATCTGTATGTGGCCACATAAACTACAAGATGTCACACCAAATTGGTTGCCATGTGAAAAATGCCTTCAGGACTTACGTGTCTTCTGCATCGTACACCTTTCCAAACTTGTATATTTATTCTAAAATCTTAAGGGAACAGTCTACTTAGATGCCTCAAGCAGAAACGGGATGATAATGAGATAGCACTCAAGAGAAACAAGTTGTAAAGATGTGAACTGCATTAGGAATGAGTTCAGTTGTGAGCTGTCACGATCTTCAGGTTCTATTAACATTTGTTATTTCTTAATAAAATCAATAATTATCATCTGCTCAAGGAGAATCCTGGAATGAATTCCTTAATATTTAATTCACTGCATCTTAAGTCCATCAGGTAACTAAAATACCTTTAAACACAATCTTTTTAGTACGTCATGATTCAGTTTCTCAACAATCTCTCGTGCTGGTCACTTTACTGTCGGAACACAGTGGGCAGAGTACGAGTAATAAACTTAAAAAAACAGGCAGCTTACCTGTAGCACTTAGCCAATGGGAATAGAAGGCAGAGCTTTTGGTGAAATTCGCAGAACTCTTTGTACGAGCGAAACAAGTAAGTGGGGTCAGGTTGGTTGGCCCGGTCCACTTTCAAAATATACACATAATACTTCTCTGGATCATAACGCTTCTGGTAGCCATACACACCGACACTCAGTATACGCCCTTCTTGCTGCAGTCTGTAAAAAATATGCAAGTTATATATAAATAAAAATCTAATTTACAGTGTTTGTCAGCACTTGTTTACTAATGGTCAGAAGTATATTTCTCAATTAAATTTTAATACGATATAATTCTATAAAGAAATTAAGAAGGGACAAAATCCAGAATACCACAAGAATTTTCAAAAGTTTAGTGAATGAGGTGACCACAAAAGGACGCATGGGCATGGGAAAATTGTAGCAGGTGGCGCACATAACAGAAATCCCAACACATGTAATTATGGGGTCTCCACAGGTTAGTACCCAAAGGTCTAGTTTTAGGATTTAACCATCCCTTCGCCAGTCCTGCGGCTGCCCAGCTTGGTCACAGATTGAGTGTGGTCTCATAGAAAGTGCTGTTGTAAAAGGGGCACTCAGAGCCAGACCTCAACCTCGGGGAAAAAAGATCATAAGTTACTGGGCAACAAGGAGTAACAGGAACACAGACATTAAGAACTAAAAAGAAAATCCTTAAATCTAGAAGTGACTGATCAGAATTCTATTATATCAGATAAATGATACAGGTTTGGCATGTGGCTATATTAAGTATAAAGTTTATTCAGTCAATTAGTACATCAAAATTTTCTATTCACACAACTTCCAATTAGAAACTTGAAAGTGTCAGCTTTGTCCACACAGATTTTACTTACGTGTATGTACGAGGAACAAAACTGAGGAGATCACCATCGTTATGGTCACCAGTAAACCTCAACTGAGCCAAGTTGTGAAGGAAGAAGTTGAACTGGGTAAACCATGAACGTAGGGAGTTCTCTATCATTCTTGCAAACGTGGCTGCTGCCTCAGGATTTGATAACTTTGGTAACAATGCCTTCTGTACGTAGCGGACTGTGTCAAGTGTTACACCTGGAATACCTGAAGATGCCATCTAAAGCAACCAAACAGAACAATATTCTAGAACTCTCTACAAGCAGCAACCAAACAGAACAATATTCTAGAATTCTCTATAAGGCATACTTTTTATTATTAAAATGAAAAAGGTAATCATTCTAAGGGAAGATCAGAGATTGAGGTTTCATAACACCATACTTAGATACTTAGACGACCCCATATTTCACAGATTAATAATAAATAAATAAAAATATTAAGTAAAGTCACGCTTGAGTGGTTCATATTTATGTTTCATATTTGTGAAGTTCCAGAGGCCAGCTATCCTGAATGAGATTTTTTGATTTTCCTCAGTCCCTCCAGGCAAATTATGGGAGATTATCTTAAAATATGCTATAGAAGCCTTCTCCCACATCCTTCCCAACTCACAACTCACTACCATCCTCTCATTCAATGTTATACTACCTATACAGTGAAGGAAGAATCATTAAATAAATCAAGAAACAAAATGTGTACACATCTTATATTCCCTTTGACAAAACTAAGCTTACTTTGATTCATGGAAAAAGAAAATACGGTACTTATAAAACTATAAAGTAATATATAGCTGTGTTCACATAAAAGGTTATCTCTTCTCTTACCAGACCAAATAGATTAAGAAGCAGGCTGCCATGACGACGCACAACATTAAACGCTGTGCAACACATATCCACAAAATGATGAAACTTGGCTGTTGGTTTGTCACCACCATTTATTACATAGGCCATATCTGATGTCAGTACAAATGGTGTCCGATCCCTGAGTATACACAAATCAATTACCAACACTAATTAAATGGTAAAGAACGTCTCTCACGGTCTGTTAAACGCTATCAAACATAATACATTTTACAGCTGTCATATCTTAGACATTATCTCCCATGTCTGCTCAACTTGAAAGCTTTCACGTTGTAAAACAGCCATCAAATTATTTAATGTTTCCGTTTTATCACTTTCTTAACAGTGCTGAAGTGAACAACTGGGTGGGTAAATGTTTCTTTACATAAAATATATAGTCCACAGGCCAGGAATAAACTGCAAAGTATTCAATAAGAGCCACAGCGCACACACATGCACACACACATATATATGTGTGTGCGCTACACAGCAATGCAGGTAAAGAGGGCTTCGAGCACATGACAATATCAATGCTAATATGAAACAAAAGGGGAATAAAAAGGAGGGAAGAATAATAGTGAAATTCATACTGGCAGTTCACAAAAGCAAGTGACTGTTACATAAAAAAAAAGTCCTGTGAATGTACAAAACAAAATATTTTGGATTATCCATGTTTTATTATTATTCATCCAACTTCTCCCCTTCCCTAGCCTAGATAACAGGGAGATTACTGTCTAGCTGTTTGGTTTGTATTGAAGAACAAATTTTGGGATCTTATTCAGTCCAAAGTCACTTCAATGTCTGAATATACATCACGTACTGTTCCCTTTAGACAATTTATACCCTTGCCTTCCACTGAAGAATGCTCACTTTAATATTAGAAAATATTGTGTACCGTAAAATTTCTACAATTCTCGCAACTTCACCCTATAAACTAATTGCCGAGGTGTTAACATAATAATAAATATACTCCCTTTATTTTGGAGAAGTTATACATAACAAGCAGATACAAATCAGTGGTGGAGCATTTAGTTTGCATTCAGGAGACATTTGATTCTTGGGTGGTGTCAGTTATCATAACAGGATTTTTTTTATCGTGTAAGTACCAGCTGATTTTTCAACAGCTCAGACTCTTCAAAAAGTATGACTGCAAATTTTCGGTTACTTAAACAACCTGTTTTGTATTCCGAGAAAGATGTTTCTGAACCCTGGGAGCAGCAGCTGATTACTATTCGACAAACGGCTCTTCCAAAAAAAGTGCCACCCCTGATCTTTCATCAGTTTAAGTCACTGCAAATTGTACTTTCTGAGAAGCTGCTTTTAACAGTCATTCAAGTAATTTACACTGCAACTTCAATGCTTCATACATTTCCATACACAAATTCAGGGACAGTGACTTCTTCAAATACTGAAAACATTATTTTTGTTCTAAAGAAGTTATTAAAGATTATTACCTTTTAAAATTTCCGAACATCTGTGCATCTCCCAAGAATTTTCCAAAATCAATATGGAAAAGATGGCCAGATGTTTTGAGCATGATGTTATCATTGTGTCTGTCACAGATACCCAAAATATAAGTGGCAACACTATATCCAGCACAAGACGCTGTGAACACAAGGAATACGGCTAATTATTACATGAATTGACTTCGCACCAATTATTTCATTTCTTTCCTATGAAGATACATACACAATCGATTACAACGAAACTAGTACCTGTAAAGTTCTCCACCGCCCTTTCGTACTCTAGCGCAGACGGGTTATGTTTTGCAAGCCACTCAGCTATAGACCTGTCCTTGAATGATCCTGTCAGGCCAAGTTCTACTTGGATTTTTCTCAGCGTCTCTGCATTTGTCACCATCTCTATCATCCCTGTAAATGAAATATGTGATGTTATGACATGTTTAATTAAAAAGTAATGTGTGCATAAATTAATAACCCACTGCCATAAAAACCTCAAATCATATTTAATAACATTCAACGTAACAAAGAAGCACTGCAAAGTTTCTAATCAACCTTCACTCTATAAAATTATGAGAATTCATATTTAACAAATGTGTTTCTAATTTTTGTGTACCTCGCTGGTCTTTACGCGCATTTATTGCAGATATAAATATATTGATGTGAAGTTAATCACACACCACAGCATAAGATATTATTTTAAGTTGCACAGAAAACTCCCAATTATCCATGTGTGGATTATCCAGTTTAAAGATTACCCATGCACGACTGTTTTTATAAAAATGTGACACATTCACGACACCTTTCAAAGTTGAAACCATTGACTCCAGCTTGATAAAACCAAAATTCTGGCATAGATATGTGGACGATGTGTTCACAATTTGGACACACGGTTAAGCTTCTCTTAAGGAATTCCTCAGCTACCTAAGACTAGTTCAGACTTTCCTGGCACAGCAGATAAAATTTCTGCTTCATTTTCAGGCAGTCTCAGGAACAAATCCTGGCATGGAAACAGACTTTTTCATGTTTTTCTTCAATTCATACATGAAAATGCTGATGCACACCCTGAATCAATGCTATCTAATGTATGTCATTGAAAACCCATTATTAAACAAACCAAAAATCATTTGTATTAAGTCAGTTATGATTAACAAGCAAAAATCAGCTGTATACCTCGTTTGTGACCTGTAGGTACACAGGTAAAAGTTACCATCTTGAGGTCAATCCCCTCCTTAAGCCAAAGCTTATCCATGATACGAACCATCTGGATAGTGAGCATATCTTGCTGCAAGTCCTCTCCGACCTGTAAGACAATTTCAGTTACTTATGGATGCAGATATAAAATTCACCAAACAAAATTCTAATTGCTACAAAAGCCAATGAGGTTAGCATCTGTGGTGTGAAACAGATAACACACACAGTCCAGCATAATAAAGTATGGTTTCCTTAGATGAATTTTACCATCAACAGCCCACATACTGATGAAAATATATACTAGCACTATTGAAGGAAAAACTTCAGACAGGTTATAATTTCAAACATGTTTGGTACCTCTTAATTACAAGACTAGAATAAATCTTATTAACAAAACAACCTGTACAGTGTAGTGTAATGTAACGCTGTGTAGTACTGTTGTATAAAACCCATCCACGTGTTCAAACGACAGCAATTCCACAATCAGACTGCCACCTATCAGCTAGCAACAAATTGATAGGATTCCACTGGTTTCAATAGAGCTGGACTTATCTTAATGATGACAATTTGAATGTGTATACAAACCTTGAAAATGGCTGGTATGATGCCTGTTTCAGTGCTGAGAAAGTTAATTTTAAGTGGCAGTGTGTTTGAAGGGAAGTACGAACAGGTTCGCACCTGCACACCCTGTACTTCAAGGCTTGGACTCAGTGGGAGACACGTGGGTGCATCTTCTAACGAATGATGCAACTGTTCCAAATCTCGTGTCAGAACCTTCAGCCGAAGGGACTCTTTACTTGCCTTCACATTTCCTGCTATTTCATACAAATTCTACAACAAAATTTTTTAGTTTTAGTTGAGTAGAAAATTGAGTAGAGTTGGCATTTGGACAAAGAATACACTTCATCAGAAAATTCCAACCCCATATTTCCTAATGTTATTATACTCATTATTTTGAATGTATTAGAAAAAAAAAACACTACATTTTAGTACATAAATTGTAACAAGGGTCTTACAGAATAACTACATTCTACTCGTATTAAAATAAATTTAGTAGAGTGAAGCAGGCAAACAAAATTCCATGCAAATTACAATCCACTGGTGTCAGTTACAAAATTGTTATCAAACATTATCACTGAAAATATTTTGAACTTATGTAAATACTGACTTCCATAAAACATAATCACCTTCACAAGTAGCTGCTGGGCTAGGAACCTTCCTCTTAGTGCTTCACCAGATATGGCAAACAAAGCGCGGAGCATCAGTTGCAGTCGACGGTGATAACGAGATTCTCCTATACTGACATCATCCTCCGCAGTAGATTCCGAGGAATTCTGCTAACATAAAACAAACATGACGGTTTTCACCCCCAAAATTTTAAATTACAGGTTCCTTCTTAACCAAATATTTATATATGATGAACTAGTAAGTCAATGGAAGGAAGTGGTCCCACCTAAAGATATTAGGCCAGCACTTGCCTGGAGTAACTTGCCTATGGCTGGGATTCTAACTCAGGACATCCAAGATCGAAAACCTTGAGGAGAAGAATAAATAGACGGGGGAAGAGACTTCCTTACCAGAGCAAGAGCTCTTGAATTTTTTTTAAGTTATTTTGTAAATGTCTCTTAGTGACCTTTCTTAAAATGCTGTTCCCTTCCTCTGAGGTGCTTTCTTAATGACCAAGTCATATGTGAAATTTTATGCAAATGTACAGCAAACTTCAGTAGTGATACAATAAACAGAAATTCACCATTTTCAAAACTGTACCTGTGGAAACTCCCCAGGAAGTGCTTGTGCCAGGAGCCAGTATAGATGATGGGCGACACGTGGTGACGTAAGTGATCGCTCCAGCAAGAAGTAAGCCAACGGTGAAGCCTCCCACGTCTCATGCTTTAAAGCCTGTACCAACTGCGGCAGGTAATCCACCAATTCATCACTCCCTAATGAACGTAACCAGTTCACAGCTGCACGACGAACCTCAACATCTGGGAAACTGCAATAAAAAGCAAAGCGTTTTAGTTTTTGAAGTGAGTGATAAGAAATGTGCTAGTTGAGTACCACAGTATATCCCTTTACAGATTAAAGAGTTCTAGAGATAAAACTTAAATGGAGAGATGACACTGGGATGGACAAGAAAAAATATGATGAGACAAGAAATACAGGTCAATGAGGTTTCATATTTGAAAGTACTGGAAGATATAAACAGCAGTCAAAACTTTTAAACAATAGCTGACCCATGTGTTATGCACAAAGCTTAAGACTGAGAAAGTTGGAGAATAGGACACACCAGGAAAGGCAGAAAGAGCAGCAGAAGTTGAGGAAAATGTGTTGACAGAGGATGGTGACAGTGGCAGAGGCAGAAAAATGAGGAGAAAAGAAGAGAAAGAAGGAAAAGAAGATGGACAGACAGGAGCAGCAGCAGAAAGTGTTGTGCACGTGGAAACCTTTACACATACCATGGTAAAAGCAACTGCATAGCACTGACTGGTTCCATCGGGCTCCACATATGCAGCATTGCATGGAGGTCTCCAATACACGCCCAGTCCCAGCTATGAGCTGCCAGTAGAACCTTTGGCAGTGCTTGTGGCATGTGGAAGAGGTAATGTCGCTTCTCCCACAACACTTCACGGTCCTCCACCATTGGCCTATCAGTATAAAACTTCAGATTCAATTACATCCAACATACGTATTAGAAGCAACAGGAAAGCTCATTTCTTACATACAGCGTCCACAGAAACATCAATAGAAAGACAGCAGATTTTATTTATACTGTAAAGCTTTATTATAGAGCTGTTAATATAATTTATACATAAGCAAAATCATTAATTCTCTGAAGAACCAACAATGTTTGCTTCTGTACAAAATATCTCTATCATAATGCAGAACTTTGCCAAATATACAAACGGAAGATTATGTATGTAATTTCCATCTCACAAAAGTTAAAATAAAGATTGTGTGCATAACATTGGAAGTATACAATCTTGTAATGAAGGTGATTTTCAACACACGCAAAAAACAAAAGAAAGCCCAACACAAAAGTTTTATTACTATCATGACACATAAAACACAGCAGTAATATAAAATTAGATTTCAGTACATCACTCACTGTACTACAAATACAGAATTATTCACACTATTTAAAAACATAAATAAATAATAAACAAAATCTGAAACAAGGAAATCAGGACATTACGCAAGACCTGAAGGTACAAATTAGAAATGCACAAGTCTCAAAACTTTCACTGATCAAACAACAACAAAAATCTTGATTCAGTTTTTCAGTCTTGAAATTTGAGAATTTTCAGATCACTGCTAGGCACAGTAGCATGCAAAACTACCCGATTCATCATGACAGGAACTGTGAGCAAACTGGCACAAATCAATCAACGATCAACAAAGACTTTCTCTGCCCACTGGAAATATTAACAGATTATGATGATGACAAACTGAAACGATATTACGAACTGTGGGCAGTAACTCACTTTGTGAAAGTGTCCTGCTCTATGATGTTCAAAAGCTGCTGCTGTGTATTTGGATCAAGACTTGTCCACTCATGAAGAGGGGCTACATGTGCGTCAGACTTCATCTTCTCGCTTCTGTTGACTTCTGGAGGAAACACCACACGTCCACCCAGATCTGGCAGCTCGACCCCTGATATCACAATAATAAAATAACAAAAGCCGTGATACGTAACAAACAAGTGTCTTTTAATATACAGCATTTAAATGTCACTACCACACTGCAATACAGAAAAAAGTGAAGAAAAAATACCAGTGTAATAGCATTTAAGAAAAAATTGAGCATAATCACTTACATAGAACAGGATCGATGTCACCATGGGGGCGTGTGCCTGGGGACGGAGCTGGCCCCAGTCTCTTGTCAGCTACTGCAGGCCACAATGAGAGAAGAAAACTGCCTTGTGCCATCACCCTGATAACACACACGATAAAATGTGAGCTGTAATATCTACAGTAAAAACCCCATCTAATGTTTCCTTGGAAAATACTCAACTGGTGAAAATCTTAATGGAAGAAAATTTAACATGAGATTATTAACATGGTATCACTTAAACTGAACATGAGCGATAATAAACCTTAAATTGAAGAGTATGGATCTTCGATGCCGAAGCTACATTCAGCAAAATAGATCTGAATAACTATATTTGATGGATTCCTACACACAACAGTACATTCCACTTCCTAACACCAGTTCCATGTTCATTTCTCTCCATTTCTCACAACAAGAAGCACATTACGCATTCCTGGTAAGCACATTTCAGACAGATTATTTCCTGATGAATTGGCTGCAAGTAGCTGGTGATGTTGTCTGGTAAATGCAGCAGATGGGCATGTTTCAGTGTAAGACCCTCATGGTTGTGGGTAAAACAATGATTACGAAGGAAGAGAATGTTTGTTTTTGTAGGCCATTTTCCTCTCCAAGCAAAACAGCTTAGATGCTGTGTGGTGGATACAGGGTCCAACACCAACACTGTATTCATATAAATCACTTAGATCTACATAGGACAACAGAAATTCATTCATATAATGATCATAGTATTACCCTTCATGGTTGAAAAACTGCATGGCAAACCATCCGAGCTCGACTTCATTTATTCGTGGTTCCTCTCCGGTGTTTTCTGGAGGCTGCATTGTTCGACCATACAAGACTAATACAAGACGTGCTTCTCGTGGCAACATACACACACTTGTGCTCTCGATACTCATCCTGCAAGAATGTTATAAGAATGCATTGTATTCCACGCAGATATACATAAAACAAGTTGTTTCAAAAAGTATCATAATCTACTAGCACAGCGTAGCTAAATTTTAATCTACTTCTATTATTCTCTGCCGGAAAACATTTTTATGATATAACAGTTGTGTCTGTCCCCAACCAAACAACTTTTGAACCTATTAACAGATTTTCATACAACTTGTTATGAACATTACAACCTAGAGACCAAGCCATCTGTACATTTAAATTTTCCAACAGCAATTATAAACAAATCCACAGTCATAATAACTTCTGAGGTGTAAGCAACATTAATGCCACTTAAAATGAGCAGTATCAGATCTCACCCCCACCCCAACTGAATCAGCATAAACCAACTTCTAAATTGGAGTACACCTTCCCACTTGCTATGTATGAACTTACCAAGAGTCAAACAGCACACGATCATAAAATCCCTTTGTGCGAGACGCTGACTGAGAGAGGACCGGTTGTCCAACAGGCCGAGTACCGTGATAGATCTGTGCTACCAACTGGAATTCGTCATGGTTCCATCCTGACAAAAGACGATGCAAACCACCAACATGGACCAGTACACTATCCAGTACACTACTGCTCTCCTTCGTACCTGCATGTGCACAACAGTAACTCAATTTACAGGAAGTCGAAGCCTTCAATTACTGCAACGTACGGTCTCAAGACAAGGTCAAATGATGAGCTGTTGTGAACACGGTAACAAACCTCCAAGTTTCTTCACAAATCAACATATGAAAAAAGGCACTGAACCTCACAGTCAGTTACTTACTAAATTTACGGGAGAAAAACCACACAAGTTTCAGAAATTTGTTACAATATATAAGATAATGACATGAACATGGTTATAAAAGCGGCTGACAGACAGTATCGACAGCTTAATCTGGGATCTGATATGGTAGCAGATGGCATTCCAGTCAGAAAGTTCTGACTTTGTCAGTGGTAATAGATGGGGAAGACATTAATAAAAACGTATAATTGGTATGGTTGCTCTGAAGACCAAAGGCTTGGAATTGGGCGGGACTTACACAAAGACCACAAGGTTCATACACAAGATGATAAAAATAACACGAAGTCCACCAGCATCCCACACTCAGCAAAACAAAACTAATAAAAAGAGCTGTAGAAATCAGAATTTCTTGTCTCCTCAACCTTTTCAAGTTTACCGAGAGAAAAAATTCTCAGGAATAAAAGAAACATTGATATGAATATTGTTTCCTTCATGTTTTCCACGACAAAAACAACCCAAATTCTTTAAAATTGATACATGTAATAATTTGGACTTGAAAAGGTTAACAAATTTTTAGATGTGACCCAAATGGATTTTGCTGTAACACAGAGCAAAAAATAACACAACTCTTTCGTAATCATCTCACCTAGTTCACCATTTCAAGATACTTCTAAACATATTTAAACTTGGAAAAGGTATAAATGAGAATTTCAGGAGTCACATACACTCTAAGCCATAAAGACTGCTATGAAACTCACACAAAACAACTCACATGTTGGCAATTCTGCTCTGGAGTTAAGCTGAAAATCAACCCTAAAGGCATGACAGTAGGTCTCGATAAGTCCCTGCACAGCATCACGAATCAGATCACAGTTGGTAGCTATCGCGTCAGCAAGTGGCTGACGTAAGTGAACTACAGAATAGTCTCCATCTTCACTGACAATCTCAGGTCTTGAGCCATCCTGCATGGCAAAATAAAAATCTGTAACTTAACTAACACATCACTCTCTCTATGGTGCAGGAAATTCTTTGGGAAGTCAACTATATATATATATATATATATATATATATATATATATATATATATATATATATATATATATATATATATATATATATATATATATATATATATATATATATATATATATATATATATATATATATATATATATATATATATATACTAATACATAACAAAACATATATAAAACATACAAAACATAACAAAACATTAAATTAACAGAGCCATAAAATAAATTTCCCCTGAGCCTAAACACCACAACATGAAGTATGGAGCAATGGTGGAATGATTAGCAGTGGAAAATTACAGGACTCAAAGAAAATCATGCTCTTGGGCCCCCCTTTTTTTACCATCGGGTCGGAGCCGACCCCCGGTGACATTAGCAACGAGTTCCCTCTGATAGGGACCTGTTCATATATTTCCTAGGCAAGTGATCCAGAAGTGGTTTGCCGTTGCCTTCTTGGGGCCTACCACAAACGTATCTTGCAGCCACCCAGGACTGAAGTTGGAGTCTCTCTGGGGACAGATCAGTGACTAGCCCCCTAACAGCACAGGCAATTTAAGGTAATATATCAGCATATACCTGTAAAGACTGAAGAAAGCCATAAAAACTTCAGACAGTCTCTCGGTTAAGATACAAACCCAGAATCTCTCAAATACGAACCATGACACCATTTGCTTTATAACCAGTACATCTAATCCACCTACAAATCGAGAAATCACTGTTCTTTCCTCACAGATATAAATTAATAAGGACATGTAACAGAAAATTATTGATTACTGATGGTGGAGCTGGTATAAACTGCAGACAAACAGATTCAAAGCTTTCCACAGATTCTGTGATGTCCTGAGTTTCCACGTTGCCCATTAGAGCGCAGACTGCTTTCACAGCTTGAACAACGCATTTGGCTTGAAGTTGGGGCATCAGGCCTGGAACATGGTGGCCGCACATCTGTCTAGCTGCTTTTTTCCATTTCCCGCTCTAGGGTCTCTGCACAAACCAGAGCAGTATAATTTTAAACTTATATGAAGTCTGTAATTATGTTTTCAATCACCAAAAAGCATCTAGCAAATCAAATTATTAACTTATGTAAAGAAATATTATGCTGTTAAACAAAATGATGTATTATTTACACATCGAGTGCACGTCTTCTACCAAAAGTTGGGAGTTGCTCAGTCAGTCAAGAAACTTCACTCTTTTATGGAACCAAACTGTTCATTACGTTCACAAAAACCCATGAAATATAAAGGATAAATTATGAAACATCAAAATAAAATATGAAGTGTGACCTATGAAATACGAAACATGAATTGCAAAATATCAAACAACAGATATGAAATATCAAACATGAAATATAAAATATCATACATCAACTACAAACTATCAAATATGAAATTTTGAATATTATGCACAAAATACAAACAATCAAATATCGAGTTTCAAATAGGAAGTATCTAATATTAAGTATGATATTTGAAATATGAAATTAAATTAAATAAATTAGAATGAGGTACGTTTTACTCCACCTTAGTAACATTCTATGAGAAATACATATTATGTAGGAATCTTGTAAACTGTAAAATATACACACCCAAGAGTATAAGAAGTGCATCATATGAAATAGGATGAACTGGTTCATTAGGAAGCAAATCTTCCAATGATAAATCTCCATCTCTTTTGTCATCTTGAGCCTGAAAAATTTAGAACTCATGAAACGACTACAACAAAATAATGTCATGTCCTGTGACTGAACCCATGCCTCCACATTGGGAAACCAAGATCTATAAAGCAGAACTATAGCATTTGCTAAGATGGGTAATAAGTCCAGCTAGCAAACATTGCCCTGATGACAGAGGCAGCAGGGACTTATGCAACGTCGGCAAACTTCTACCAGACTACACGGCACAACAGCCCAGACGACAGCCGTCTACAGACTCACTGCCGTGAAAACCTCAATTCCTACTTAGTGAACATATTAATCAAAACTTCAGGCTTTTGCTGGGAGTTTCATCTCTGACCCTGCATATGGCCGAAGGACTTATTTTAAAGGTTTTTTCAGTTTTTGTTTTGGGAAAACAAAAATTTTATTGAGCATTTAAAAAGATAATGAACACTATTCTTAGGTTCAATATTAAATCAAAGGACATTAAATAATATGGCACATAGTCGTAAATGGTGAAGAGGGGCAGAATTTGTGGTTATTTCAAGGTACAAATCTAACATTCAGCTGGAAAGACTGTATAAAATCATTAGTAGTCTCAAACGGAACAACCGGGATTCAAATCTCATATACCATTACCATTATACCAACCTGATCAATATATAAGCAAGTTCAGTACGGCATTAAAACTAATGAAATTGTACCCTTAAAAAGGAACCTACCAATGGCACTTCCGTCTCTAAGGCTTACAAGAAAGCATGAGGCAGAGAAAACTGGAAAACTTACAGTTCTAGCCAAAGGCCTTTTCAGTTGATCAGTTTGTAATATAGCGAGTTCCACATCTCGTTCCAATTTTATACACTGATGAATATACTCGTAGTCAGACAGAGTAGTGTGAGACGTGAAGTACTCCGCAAGGCCCCATACTTTGAGGACATAGTCACTGACATCTTCACACAAATCCCCTTCCAGTTCACACACTACATGCAGGATTACATGCTCCACAGTTGAGCTCACTGTAGCAATAAAAATAAAAGTATAAGAATGTGTAAAGGAATGTTTGTGTATGCGTGCACTCACAAAGGAAACATTCAAAAAGGTACAGACCTCATGTCACATACTGACATTTATCAAGATGATATAAAGTGAATCAAAGACCATCTATGGTTTATTGATTAAAAATTACAGAAATGTCATGAATTTCAAAATGCAATATTAGCTCTATGGTTGTATGACAGCAACTTGAATCAGACACAATCTGACGGTAGTCCTTATAAGCATTCACACATACCAGAAATTTTAAACTAACAGCACACAATACATAAACATCATTCTAATTCCTGCCTTTACAACCGTCTCTCCAAGCAACTGTGAAGCAATTTTAAGTTTAACATTTCTAATTTTACAAAATGTAATTATTTAGCCATTAAATTTGTTATATCAAACAAAATTACATGTAGAACTGTTCTGTCCAGAATGTGGAAGGGTTAACCAACAAACATTTAAGACCTTTACGGTCTTTCTCAATAATAATGGCAGAATTCTGTGGGTTTCACCCTGTTACTACCCACCCCTCTGGTAGAACAATCAAAAGCTCAACATCACAAGCACTGAAGCTTGCCAGTGGTCCCAATCCTGAGCCATTTCCATCCATCCCTAATCATCACTACCTGCATCCTCAAAATTCATCTCAACATTACCCTTCCATCTCAATCTACCAAGCGAATGTTTTCTAAGTGAACTACCCACCAAAAATCTGTGTGCATTTCTTATCTGAGCCATCCAAAATGACCCAACATAATCACCGTAATTTCATACCCTAACAATAATACTATGTGGGTTTCACCTAGTATTTGTGAAAAATCTTCAACAATATTTGCACAATTTCTTTCACTGATTAATCTTACCATCACAGGTAAATATAACCGGACTCTCTTCATTCTTGGAATGGACAATTAACTTGATACTTGTTCCTTCTCCACATGAACTATCTATCGTCGGACTCACCACCAAGCCTATGTTTGTGTAAGGATCAACGTAAGGAAACTCCGCTGTACAGAGAAACAAATTAAGCGAGCTTAGAGAGTAAGTGGATAAATACATTTCAGCAATAAATTCATGCCGGCTCTTATCAATTTCTTCAATACTTCCAGGCAGGTGCAGGACAGAACAATGAACAGATCATTACAAACTACTTCTAATATTTACTTACAATTCATATTCATTATCATCCCATTCAAGATTATATAAACCTCTGAACAGAAAATATGGTGACAAATAACCTAGAAATCGATCATTAAAGTATACTTTTACATTCCTTTCCTTCATCCATAAACCGCTCACAATTTTCTTCAGACGCAATCCGACTCCCTCAACGTAAAGATTAAATATTATGCCGGTGGTGGTGGGAAATATAAACATTCCATTAATTCAGCTGCATGCAGAGTAGACTTTGCATATAATCAACATAAACCAAACTTAAATATGCGTGACAGGTTCTCAGGCACACCCTCATACCTGACTTCAAGAAAATCACATCAGTAATTTTGAAGCTGAAACATACGAACATTTATGCACACACAAACAAAATTATCCTATTAAAAATATATGGAAATTTTTTCCTGGAACCAAAAAAGTTAGTTGACACAAATGAACTCTCACATGAAACAACTTACCACGAAGTTTCTTCACCATTGAGTGGAATGTTTGCAGTTCTGAATCATGGAGAGCTGCCCTCTGCTTCACTACCTTCACATTCTCATACAACCGACACTTAACTCTCTGCTGGTAAGCATAAAAATACACTGAATTATAATAACTAATCAATTAGTATTATCCTAAACCAGTTCCATAATTTCAAATTCCTACAACTGAAATTCTAAAAGATTGATTTTAATGTCATCTTGCCACTTTCAACTTCCAAGATGTTTCATCACCAAAATTAATTTTAATAATTTGTGTAAAATTAAAGAACTAGGATAGCTCAGTTAGTAAAGTAACTGCCATGGGATATATGGCCTGGGTTTAATCCTAGCACGGAAAGGAAATTTCCTCTTCACCACCACATTCCGGGGGCCTCACAATTCTCCTACCCAACGTATAACAGGCGTTTTTGACATAAATACGTCTATACGGAAGGGTCATTC